GGAGTTAAACAAGCCACTAAACTCCACTAAAGACTCTAAAGAAGCAAACAGAGGAAAAGAGTCTTTCAGCCAATCAAATCAGCTGATCGCTGCTGCGCCACAAAAGCTTTAACTGATGTGATGTGACGCAGCGCTCGATCAGTGACGAGTGATGGAACCTCCGGTTTCCAGCCTGATTTGTTACATGCAGCGTGGGAGGAAAACAAGTCCAACGACAGGCAGGTGATTGACAGGAAAGAATCCCACACAGGAACAGGGAAGCAACTTCTCTTTCACTGGTGACAGAACCTCCCTTCTTCTATGGAGGTGAGTGTATTACATACTGTTGTGTGACACATACTGGTTTTCACATGAGATGAAACAGACACAGTTCACTTCTTCCCTTCAGTAACTGACTATTTTTCCAACATGCAGACACATTACACAGCATTTAGTACATTTAGCAAAACACAGTTCCCTACACTCATTTATCCATCATTATTACAAAAGACACAGTTTACTATATTATACACTTTATTTTCCATCTGGTCCGGTTTACATTCACAAAGGCAAAAAACTCCAAGGTCCAGAAATTGTAGACAAAAGCCATGCGGTGAAATTGTTGTTCTATTATTGTTCTACTATTTTCACTGTTACATAAAAATATTGGGATAGTCTATCAGAACACTCATCCTCACAGGTAGTATCATCCGGGGAAAGATTACAGCTTGGGAGTTTCTCTGAATGACAGAGGAGGAGTGAAATAGTTTAGTGACCAAATGAGTTGTGGGAAACGAATTTAGGAAAAGGTTTTGATACATTGTTGAAAGTAAACAACAGAGAATTTTGTTAACTTTCGATCAATAAACAGAGTTGAAACACCTCTGTGAGTGCTTTTTCCTTTAGTGGTGAGTCACAAACCTCCAAAAAGACGACAGGAAGAAGTAGAAAATGAGTCAGGAGTTAAACAAGCCACTAAACTCCACTAAAGACTCTAAAGAAGCAAACAGAGGAAAAGAGTCTTCCAGCCGATCAAACCAGCTTCACCTGAAGCAGCTGCAGTAAAACCAGCTGATCGCTGCTGTGCCACAAAAGCTTTAACTGATGTGATGTGACGCAGCGCTCGATCAGGGACGAGTGATGTGAAGAGCAAATAAAAATGTACAGAGGTGTTAAATGAGACCAGAAGATGGTAAGAAGAGTAATTTTTTTGCCGCCATCTGGTTACAAAAAGGCCTAGGTATCGATTGTTTCAAAATTTCAATGCAGAGCAGTCTAGTGTGGCCATTCGGAACAATTACAACACTTTTGATTGGACCACCCATTGTAGTAACCACATCTTTTCTAAATTAAAACCCATCCCCAACATAATTCTCCTTTCATGGGAAACACTTACAAAGTTCATATCCTTTACATCCCCACAACATGTTTGGTTGAGCGTGAAACATGCTTACGTAACATAAAGCTTCAAGTTGGAGCAGGTTTGCCAATGGAAATTCTACTGAAAACCAACCTTATCTTACGTTGGAAATCACTGCAACCAATTCTGTTTGTTATAGTGTACCGAGCACCTGCCCCGTACTCTGAATTTTTATCTGAATTTGCAGAGTTTTTGTCAACTTTAGTCCTTAAAACGGACAAAGTTATTATTGTAGGGGATTTTAATATTCACGTGGACGTTGAGAATGACAGCTTCAGTACTGCATTTATCTCTCTGTTAGATTCCATTGGCTTCTCTCAGAGTGTTCATGAATCGACTCACTGTTTTAGTCTTACAAAGTTCATATCTTTAACGTATCATCTACCTGCTTGGTTGAGGGTGAAACATGCTTGCGTAACATGAGCAGGTTTGCTGAAGGAATTCTACTGAAAAGAACCTTTTCTTACCTTGGAAATCACTGCAACCAATTCTTTTTGTTATAGTGTAATAATAATAATAATAATCTTTATTTGTAGAGCACTTTTCAAAAACAAGTGTAAAGACAATAATACCCAGGAGACAATAATACAAAAACAATACAAGATAAAAGCATCAAAACATTGAAAAGACTAAAATACACGTATAAGATAAATATAAAATTAGTAAAATACAATAAAATAAAAGGGATAAATAAAGTCAAATAAGATCGGGAAAGGCTCTCCTATAAAAGTATGTTTTAAGAAGGGACTTAAAAGAGTTCACTGACTCAGCCGACCTGATTTCCTCGGGCAGGCTGTTCCAGAGCCTCGGGGCCCTGACAGCAAACGCTCTGTCCCCTTTAGTTTTCAGTTGAGACTCTGGAACAGACAACAGACCTCTGCCCGAGGATCTCAAGGTACGTGCTGGTGCGTATGGGACTAAAAGGTCAGAAATATAACAAGGCGAGAGGCCATGAAGAGCTTTAAAAGTGATCAATAGAATTTTAAAGTCAATTCTAAAACATACTGGGAGCCAGTGTAATGAAGCTAAAATAGGAGTAATGTGGTCATATTTCTTTGTTCTGGTTAAAAGCCTGGCAGCTGAGTTCTGGACAGTCTGGAGTCGATCAATAGATTTTTTGGTTAAACAGGTGAAAAGGCTGTTGCAATAATCCAGGCGTGATGAGATGAAGGCGTGTAAAATGGTCTCAGTGTCCTTAAAAGTTAACATAGATCGAATTTAGCTATATTTCTAAGTTGATAAAAACACGATTGAACAAGCTTTGTGGTGTGCTGCTCGAAATTTAAATTACTATCAAACCAAACACCAAGGTTCTTTGCCACAGGCTTAATGTGATTTACTAGGGAACCAGCAGATGGCAGTATTTGATTTGCCATCTGCTGAGACCCGATGACCAGGATTTCTGTTTTGTCTGAGTTCAGCTGGAGGAAATTATTTGACATCCATTTTTTAACTTCACAAAGGCAGTTGTTAAGTGAACTCAGCATTCCAGGGTCTGTGGATCTGACGGGCAAGTATATTTGTGTGTCATCAGCATAAATATGAAAAGAAATGCCATGTGTATGGATAATATGTCCAAGGGGAAGCAGATACAAGGAAAACAAAATGGGTCCTAAGAACGACCCCTGAGGCACACCATATTTAACTGGACAGAACGAGGAGACATAGTTGTTTACAGACACGCAAAACTTCCTATTTGACAGGTAGGATGAAAACCATTCTAGAGCAGTACCAGAGATCCCCACCCAGTGCCTCAGTCTGTCTAACATGATGTTGTGTCAAAAGCAGCGCTAAGGTCCAGGAGTACCAGGACTGAGCACATGCCTTCATCAGCAGACATTAAAAGGTCATTGGTGACTTTAAGCAGGACAGTCTCAGTGCTGTGGTACTTCCTAAAACCAGACTGAAACTTTTCAAATAATTTGTTATTTTCCAGTACAGTGAGCAGCTGTTTGGACACAATTCTTTCTAGAATCTTTGCAATAAAAGGCAGTTTTGAAATTGGTCTAAAATTATGTGGGAGGGAGGGATCTAAACCAGGTTTCTTTAAAGGTGGGTTCACGCAAGCCGTTTTAAAATAATCAGGGACACAACCACTAGATAGGGAGCTGTTGAAAACAGAGATCACATGAGTGCAGAGCACCTGGTCCGTTCTTCTGAATTCTTATCTGAATTTGAAGAGTTTTTGTCAACTTTAGTCCTTAAAACAGGCAAAGTTATTATTGTAGGGGATCCAAGCCTTAACTATGGGGGTCAGATCCCCCAATCCCCCCGTAATTCAAACCATGATATATAGTGACAACGCCCAACAGTCAGAGGGGCCTCCAACTAAATTTTGATTAGGGCCCTCGAAGGTCTAGGGCCGGCTCTGCTTGAATGAACTGAGTCGGCAGGCTGACTTCCTGCCAGCGCAGGAGAATGAGAGGCAAGTCTGCTGTCAGGTAACAGTCACTTAATTATGTGATATTTAATAAAGCATAACGGTATTACAGCGCAGTGATGTTGTGCTGTAGTTTTAACACAGCCGTCCAGTAACTTTAGTCCTGCTAGTGTTTACAGCCAACAGCTGATGAGAGTTGTTCTGGGTCCACTTCAGAGCCCTGACAGAGTTCTACCTGGAGCCGAATAACCTCAGATGTCGTCTCCTCTCCAAAACAAACGGACCCGGTCATTAAAACATTAAAACACAGCCACGTAGCAACGTTAGCGTTAGCCCTGCGGTGTGTTTACAGCCGTCCTGTTGTTCCACAGCTCCTGACTGGTGAACATCCTGCAGAGTTTGAGAGCGATGTGCTCATGTGTGTTTCTCTCTGTCTGCAGAATCCGGACCTGATGTGGCCCATTCTGCGTCCAGACCTGCCAAACTGCTGCTTTATATAATGTGTTTAATGTATAATGTGTGTAATTTGTTTGTTCCTCTCTCTGTGCTGCAGTTCTTTTAAGAACTTGGAGGCTTGATCCAGATTATTTTTACGTTTGTTAAATTTTAATAAGAGCGTGTTTTATTCATATAGTGGATCAAGCTAAATTACTTCAATATATTCCCTGTAAATCTGATGATAATATATAGATTTGATGACTCCAGTCTGTCAAAAGAGTGACTTTTCCCATCACTTCTGCCCTCTACAGATCAGGTTCTCTGGGCGCCACATGACGCTCACCTGTTCCCGTTCTCACCTGCTAAACTCTGTCTGCGCAGAGAGACGAGGGAGAAGAGAAGCTCGGTGCCTTTCAAGCAGCCGTGTGCTGAAAGTAGCTCGTCAATGTCGCTTGTCGTGAAGCGACCAATCACAGCCCAACAAACGGGCTTGAAAGAATCTTAATGTCTGCACTCGTTTGAAGGTCTTTTTGTGATTTATATCATCGCCCCCTCTTTCCTTTTTGTGTTATTGTACCCCCTCACTATATGTACGTTTGTATCCTTTATATCTTTTGCAATGTTAATATAAAAAGATGATAATTACACACTTTACTTCATCTACTTACAATAATCAACTAATACATTTAGAATTGTTGATGCAGCTGTTTGTGAATTCTATTTATTCATTAAGTAAAATTCTGAATTAATAAATAAATACACATTTTGTAAACGGACTTTAACGGAAATTTTAATTTTACAGTCGCTGCAACATATCAGTTATCTGATAAACTAATAAATGTGCAGCTGTTACTGAATCTGATTCTTAGAGAGGAAAATGATGAACATGTGGGATTATTTAGGACCAAACTGTGTTCTCTGGAGACATCAGCTGTACCACAGGTTTCTGAGGAAATCTGCTCTACACACTGCAAAAACTGAGCTCTCAAAAACAAAAACAAGCAAAAAAAGCATTGAAATGGGGAAAATATTACTTAAAATAAGCAAAATTATCTGCCAATAGAAAAAGAATATTTCACTTGCTACTGAAGGCCAAAAAAACTTGAAACAAGTGAAATTCTCTAACATAAAAGCCGCCTGGTAAGAAGAAATATCTTGTCAGTTGTTGTTTGTCAGTTTTTGCAGTGCAGTGTTTTATTGAAAGACGACTTTACTTTCACTACATTTACAGCAGTTTGATAAACTCTCATTATTTACATCCTTAAAACTCAGGAAGTCTTTAATTCCCTGGTTCTCTGTTAGATCAGATATGACAACTTCATGTGAAACACATCAGCAGAAACAACACAATGAAAACTACAGCATTTAGTCATCACATCATCATCATCATCATCTATCTCTGTTGTTCTACAGTCACAAAGACCTTCGCTGGTAAAACCTTCAGTGGGAGTTTATCCATAGTTTCAATATATGGAAACATCCTGTCAGTGAAAGTGTGTGTGAAGGTGTGTATGTTTGTGTTAGTATCAGGATCAGAGAACGACAGCTTTCCTCTGTTCCAGTCCAGATTCACTCTGATCCTCTGGAGCTTCTTCTGCACGCTGAGATCAGTGAGTTGAGCTGATGGTGACTTTGCAAAGTATTTACCTATAAAGAACCTTATTGTCCATAATCCAGACTCTATGTCCCCCTTCCTCTGGACAGACTCTGCTAACACACCCAGTAACCAGACTGTATTGTCTCCAACCTCGACATCCCAGCTTTGAGTCCCTGAGTTAAAGCCCTCAGAGCCCAGGACAGACCAGGAACTATCAACCCTCTCTGGATTGTCAGGAAGCTGCTGTTTCTCTCCTCCTCGTCTCACACTGGTCAGATCTTCAGACAGGATGAGTCCTGAACCAGCAGTGTTTGGGTCCAGGATGAGAGGAGTGTAGGAGACCATGTCCTTCATCTTGTTCCAGATGTTGAAGGTCAGGTTGCCCAGGTGTTTGGCCTGGTCTATCAGAGCTCCTGAGGGCAGCTGTGGATCATCCAGCAGGGGGCGCTGCTGGACTCTTTCCACTGCAGCCTTGTAGTTGAGCAGGAATGAGACGTCTTCAGCTCTCAGCTCCTCCTCTGTGGCTCTGACTGTGTCTGAAAGAGCTGCTATCTCTCTGCTCAGAGCCTCCATCTTCTCCTTCATCATCTGACTCTTCTGCTCCTCTTCCTCCCTCAGTGCAGCCATCCTGGCCTCCTCTTCCTCCTCTAGAAACTGCTGAAGCTTCTTAAACTGCTCCTTAATCTGCCTCTCTGTGTGTCGGGCCTGGACCTTCATGTGTTCTGCTGTTTGATCAAACTTCACTTTAACTCGTTCACAAACCTTTAACTTCTCCTTTAAGGCCTCCAGAGTTTCCTGAAGTTCCTTCTTGTGTTGTCGTGCAGCTTCATCGACGGGTCTGAATCTGTGGTTGCTGTGTTCTTCTGAACCTCTGCAGGTGTCACAAACTGGCTGCTGAAGGTCCAGACAGAAGAGTTTGAGTTTCTCAGAGTGCAGACTGCAGAGAGCCTCTGAAGCTCTCTGATCTCTCTCCTGTAGGAAACTCTCACACAGGTTCTTTAAAGCCTGGTTAGGTGGTAACCAGTCATTAGAACATCTTTTCTTACAAACTGGACAGTCCTGACTTCCTCTCTCTGTCCACCAGCTCTGCAGACAGCCTTTACAGAAGCTGTGGCAACATGACAGGATGACAGGATCTTTAAAGATGTCCTGGCAGACAGGACAGCAGAGATCTTCCTCTAATCTGGAAGCCATTTAGTCTCTGAGTGAAGCTGAAGTCACAGCAGCAGACGCTCAGACAGGAAACAGTCAGCCACTCCCTCCTTCAGTAACGGTCCTGAAAGTTACCTTCACTTTGAGTCTTTGTTCTCGTCAAACTCTTGTTCAGTTTGTGGATTCAGCAGCAGGTTGAAGTGCTCGTATTCCCAGTGTTCCCAGTATTCCCAGTATTCCCAGTATCCCTCCTGTAGCTGTCCTCTCTCAGTGGAAGTGCTGGTTCTGGTCTGAAGGGGAGTCTTACCGTCTGACTCTCAGTGTGTCTCGTCTCAGTGAGGCAGAATAACAACCTGTTTCCTGGTTTGTCTCAGGAAGTCATGTGAGGGGCGGAGTCTCTTCAGAGTATGAAAACACAGGATTGGCTCTTATTTTTCCATCTGCAGTAACAATAAAATCTCCAGATAATCCCGTCTTGTTAGTAGATTGTGACGGAGCTCAGCTGACTGGAACACATGGGAATTATGACTTTAGAACATTTTGAAATGAGAAGAGTTCAAATACAGAGTTTAAAGAAATGATCCACTACTTAGTACTAAAACAATGCAGCCCTAACAGTGAACTGAAATATACATTAAAAAGTACTTTTACAACTACATTTTCAAAAAACTTCATCTTCTAACCACAGGTCAGTGGTTGTGATCCGTTCTGTCGATAACATTTGAAAAAGCTACACCAGCCGCACGGATACAATTTTACTTGCATTCACATTAGCGGAGCGATAAACTGGAAGTTAGCCTGCTCGGCCGGCAAAAGTCAACACAGTGGACGCTGTAGCGCTGACTAGCGTTTGGGGTGTAATTGCAGAATGACGGAGACACCGACGCACAAGTATAAATGCCTGGTAGCCTACGGCGTAGCTACACATGTAGACCCTACGCAGGAGTATAAATCAAGCTTTACGCTGTCATTCTGTGGGAAACACTGTATTTACATACAATTGGGATTCATGTGACACCCTGTCCAATTATTTAATGACTGGTACCTTATCTGCCTTTCTGTTGTCTCGGTTATGAAGTAATGGCCTGCGTTACAACAACACGGGCGCAGTGTCAAAGATGCGCTTTTTGTAGTCTGTCTTCAGAACATTGTAGTTTCATCACAGCAGGTCACGTCAGTAAGTAGGTGACAGTACCCCCCCCCCCAAACTATCATCAACCACAAGATGAAACTAAACATTTTAACATTAATGACGTTGCACATTAACCACTTACTTTCCTGCATTCTGCACCAAGTTATGGTGGAAATGTCTTTATTTATATAAAGGGAAACAAAATAAAAGTGGCAGGTGACAAAATATATATAATGGAAAATAATTCTGTAATCAGCTTTTGGACAATGCACATTTGTTTCTTCTATATTTGCATTGCATCATTTTCCTATTTTGCCTTGTTTCATTTGTTATTTAACATTTCTTCTTGCTGTTTTTCAGAACATAAGCTTTCAAAAAGTGATGCAGACATTCAGATTCTGACCTGTCCCCAGCGTCCCCAGTGTAAATGACACCTATCTGTCAATACTTTTAAACCCCATCCAGGCTGTGATTGGTCGCTTCACGACAAGTGACGTTGACGAGTTACATTTAGCTCACGGCTGCTTAAAAGGCACCGCGCTTCTTCTCCCTCGTCTCTCTGCGCCGACAGAGTTTAGCAGGCAGGCGAGAACGGGAACAGGTGAGCGTCACGTGGCGCCCAGAGAACCTGATATGGAGAGGAGAGGACCGGCACCTTGGGAGAAGTCCCTGTACGCAAGAAAATGTCCCGGTACACCAAAGTGTAAAATGTCGAGGTGCGCTGGCCAAGCGGCGACTCCGACACGCCCTCAGAAACAGCGAGCTGCAGCACACAGCTCTCCTCTCCCTTCCAAACACTAGCTACCCTCCAGGCAGTCAGTGGACATAAAGTTGTTCCTGTGATGTAGAGACAGAGCTCAGTTAAAACTTTATGGATACAGATTAATAACTCGCCGCTCTGAAACTCTCGCTCCAGTCCGTGTTGCCGAGCCGGTCGGCAACACGTACGGCTGAACCCGAGCTGTTTACCGGCTTCTCGCTGACCCGCCCTTCTCTGCTTCTGATTGGCTAGTAGTCCTTAACTAGGAACTGAGCATGTGCAACTCCCAACAAAGATCATTTAGAGACAAGATGCATCACTCCATAGCTAAAACGAAGCCTCCAACACAGGGTGAAAAGAGGAGCTGCAGCAATGTGCAGTAGGACAAAAATATAACCATGTAAACCTGCTCTGGTACAATAAATAAGATGAGGAACCTAAAAACAAGCAGAATATGACCTCTTTAATATGTTGTTACACTGGCACTCCAAAGACAATAATCGCTGATACCTAAACTCTCATATATCCAAAAACAATTATACTTTTTAACATTTTTTCTTACAAATAAATATTTAAGACATGCCCATTTACAAAATACATTTAGATCTCATGCATAGCTTTTTAGATGGTCTTATTAGTGATTTAACAAAGCCGTTTTAGCCGACTGCCCTACTTACATTTACTAGTAATTAACTGTGCATTTTTAAAGCTATGGAGCTCTGCACAGATATCACCTTTTCATTAGTTACCAGTAACTAATTGAATAATTATTAGTAATCGTTTCCAATTCACTATTATTTAGTTACAAATTTTTACTTATTAATAACTATTCGATTCTTACTAGTAAGAAATTAAAATGTTACTATTATTTTTTGGGAATAGTAACTAGTGACTAATAAATAGGTGTCTAAATAATAGAAAACTAGTAAATAAATAGATGTAGTTACTTATAACTAACGAATATACATGTGAACTGCAGAGCACCATAGACTTGAATGGGAGAAATGTGCAATTAGTAACAAAGTAAAAAATTAAGTACTATTATCTAATCAATAAAACCGGGTTTAATAATATAATTTAGTAATAATTGTTAAAACGGTAGAAGTCTGTGGAGGGAGGACAAACAACACGATTTTATTCTAGTAATGTAAAATCATTATAGAAAGCATAGATCCTACGGGAGGGAAAGCAGAGTGCAGATAAAAGTCAGTAAGTAAACAGACACATTGATCTGTTGCTATGGTGTGGCTTCGCTTGGAGACGCACTGCAGGTAAAAGCTCACCTGGGCCGGAAGTCACCGTTAAAATACAAAAATGCTACAAAATAAAAGACTTCCGGGTGAAGCGTGGCGGCTCTGAGGAAGCAGCTGAGGATGCTGGGATATTTTTAGGATGACGTTGATGGGGATGACGGGGAGGAGGAGCTCTGACGTCATCGTTGTTCAGTTTTTTCTCTCTTGTTGCTCCGCAGTGCTGCTGCTGCTGTTTGACCTGATAAACCTCTGAAAGCTGCAGGGAGGATCTTTACTTTCACACTTTCTCCACTTTTTCTGCTCTTCTTCCTGCTCCCTCCCTCTCTCTCTCTCTCTCTCTCTTTCTCCCGCTTTGTCTCCATGCGGGTCTCTCTCCCGCACCAACGCAAACGCCGGGCCTTCCTGTAGCCGCCGCCCCGGCCTCCCCCTCCCTCCGGCCGGCGGAGCCTCCCAGCTGAGCCCCGCTGAGGTGGCCTGGTTCCCGGGGAGCGGAGCCGCAGAGGAGCCGGCGGAGGGGATGTTTGTTCCGGACTGAGGAGAGCAGAGAGCAGCGGGAAGATGTCCGGCAGGATGCCTCTGACCCCGGTGAGCGAGAGAGAGCCCGAACAGGTAGGGCTGATTAGAGATTATTGATTAGTTATCGCAGTGATTAGAAACTACTGATGAAGTTTATTGCATTACAAATGGACTTCTGCTTTTATTACTGATGCAGGTTAATTATTATATTTTGTATTTCTAATCAAGGTAAAATATATTTAGTTATGAAGTTACAGATGTGTTTTTTACTCTCCTTATTGTAGCACAGGTGCAGTTTAATTTATTAAAGCTGTGTCCATATGTTTGATTGCTTCCTTGTTGTTGTTATTATAGCTGTGGTGTGTTCAGGCTCAGGTGGGATGTTTCATGTCTTATGAGTCCTGGTACCTGTCCAACCTGCTAGGGGCCCCGAGTAAAAAGGAGGCATGGGCCCTACTCAGCCCCCGTTTGTCCCACTCACAACTCTACGGCCTCAAAAGTAGATTTAAACTTTGGGGCCTTTTACAACACAGGGGCCTCAGAAGAGGCCGCCGCTGATTCAGCATTTCCCTCCTCAGTTTTAGTTCAATCAGTGAGTCGGTTTCTACATGAAAGGAGTTTGTTCAGTTGGAAAAAGAAAAATAGAGCTGCAGGTCGAGAATCATGAAAAGATTAAATGATAATAAAATGCTGTTAGTTAAATTACAGTTTGTGCAGGAATGTGCAGAAGTGGACAGTAAGACTATGCTGTACTGTAAAGGGGGCAGGTTTTGGGGGATCCCGGGTCACGTTGATGAGGCTGCAGAAAGGTTCTTGGTCCTGATGGTTCGCAGGCTCCTGCTGAAACAGACTGTGGAGAAAAGGTCAGCTGCGTTCTGTCCTGCTCATCTCAGAGTCCCGGAGGGGTCCGGGTCCCGGAGAGACGTTATATTGCAGCCAGTCACCTTCTCTGCAGAGTGAACGACACGCTGCAGCCTGCCCCTGTCCCTGGCGGTGGCAGCAGACGGTGATGGAGCGGCGCTGTAGAAGTGCACCATCATCGCCTGCAGCAGGTTGAACTTCCTCAGCTGCTGCAGGAAGTTTCTTTCTTCTTCTTTGGGAGCTAACGTAGCTACGTAGACGAGCTAATGTCTCCTTCAGTCCAGCTGTTCACTCATCACTGTTACACTCACCAAATGTGTGTAACCTTACCTTTAATGCTAACTCAGGTTTTTGATTTCCCAGATTATTAGTACAAAATATAATCAAACAATAAATTATGTTGTCACTATATCAGTAAGACTTGATTGATCTCCAGGGGTAAATTATAATATATATATTATATTATATATATTATATCACTTAAATGCTGCTGCAGTAAATTATAATATTATAATTTACTGCAGCAGCATTTAAGTGATGAACACATGAATACATCAGGACCATTCTGCATAAACAGTACTTCTACTTTTGGTACTGGAAGTTTATTTTGATGTTAATACTTTTGTCCTTTTTTTGAATGCAGCACTTGTACTTGTGGGATTACTAGTTTTACTTAAGTTATGATGTGCAGGTTGCGTTAGCATGTAGCAGCTAGCAGCTAACAGCTAACAGCTGCTGGATTTGACATCTGTGAGTGAAGCTGAAGAAGAAAGCGCAGAGGAGATCGGATATTTGCTTTGGTTACTTTGACCCGGCTCAAAAGGCCACAACAAAGGGGAGAGACA